GTCGTGGGACTTGAACTCAGGCCTGGGCAATGTCCCTGAGTTATTTTTGCTCAAGTCTAGTGCTCTACCATCTTCTGGTTTTCTGGTGGTTGATTGCAGAGAGTCTCATGGACTTTCCTGCCATGATCCTTAGATTTCAGCCTCCTGAGTAGGACTTACAGGTGTGAGCCACAGGTACCCGGCTCAGCCTTTTTTAAACCACACGTTCAGATAGGCATGCTGGGACATGGACACCCCTGTAACTCCTGGTACCCAGGAGACTGAAGCAGGAAGAGTCAAAAGTTCAAGTCCAGCCTGGGCTACATAATGAAACCCTGTCTTGTAAAACCCAAACAACTTCAAGCAACACCCCCTCCCCAATAAACCCTCCCAAACTCCATATGCATTTTATTCACCGACTCTCCTCCAGAATTGGGATGCTTCTGAAGCCTGGCTCAGAGCAGGATGCACAGTGCCCACCAGGGCCCGCCCTGCTTCTCACCTCTGTCTTGTTGGGCGTGCATAATTTAAATACCATAAATCTATGCAGAATATGCAGGTAGAGACTACCTTAAACGTTATTTTTTTAAATTTAAATTTTGTTGTAAAGGTGATGCACAGAGGAGTTACAGTTACCTAAGTCAGGTCATGAATATATTTCTTTTTGAGCAGAGTTATCCCCTCCCTCAATTTCTCCCACTTTCTCCCCTCCTGACTCCCCTCCCCGCCCAAGTTGTACAGTTCATTTCCAACATAGTGTCCAGAGAGTATCACTGTTGCATTGGTTCACACTTTGCCCCACTGTTTCTGTGATTTCCCCTTCCCTTCCCCAAATCAGATAAACTTATATTCAAGACAAAGGGTACAGAAATAAAGAGTGACAACAAGGCATAAACCAAAGAAAAAAGATGTAACTGCAAGCAGTACAATAAAAAACCCCCACCTCTTTGTTTCCATTTCTTGGAGTTCTTTTCAATAAGCATCATTTTGTATGATCATATATACATAGCTATAGAACCATTAGGACCCTCTCCTAAGGACATCCTCCTTTAGTTCTGATTAAAGGAGGGCTGTTCAGTTAATCATGTCCAAGGGTAATTATTTGTCTTTTACTATCCATTGGATTAACTTGGACCTTAAGTTTTAGTCTGGAGCCTTTTGTGACCACATGGCCAGCACAAGGCCAGCGCGTGGCCCTGGCTTGGCGGAAGCAGTTTGTGAAGGACATCATGTGTACTGGCTCACGCTGGTCCTGTGTGGTGGGTACCTGTTTTACAGATAGCAGAAGTGAGGTGCAGACAGGTTGTAACCTACCCAGGCTGTGGGCGCAGTGGGAGGAGGCCCTGGAACCCAACCACAGGTGGCCTTGGCCACCTCTGAGCTGTGTCCACTTGCCCAGGTGATGTGGCCCGGTGTGCCGGGGGGCGTGCCATGCAGAAGAGAAGTCGCAAGAGCCAGACACCCTGGGGCAGGGTCCTTGCCAGTGTGGACACTGCATGCCACTGGAGAGGCCCGTCCTTGTCCAAAAGACACGGGCCTCAGCTGGCTGGTCCCGGGCGTCTTCCTCGTCACCAGCCCTGCTGCCCAGGCCCTTTGTGCCCCTTGGCGGGCGCCTGAGGGCTCAGGGCCTGGGCTTGCTTCTTGCAAAACTCAGTGCCGGGGAGCTGGCCAGTGCCTCCTGCCAGCCCACGAGGTCCCTGCCTCTTCTGCTCAGTGGTTTCCGGGGGAGCAACACAGTTTGGACCCAAAGGGTTCCCTTCCTGCCTGCCCGCAGTGGGAGCTCCCAGGATTTGGTTCAGTATGGAAGTCATTATTACATGATACCAGTTTTGACTTCCTGTGGTATACACTTGTTCCTGTTCAGGGAGCTTTTGGGGGAATGGTGCTAGGATTTGAACTCAGGACCTCTTGCTTATCAGGCAGATGCTCTGCCACTGGAGCTGTATCTCCAGGCCTTTTTTTCTCTGGTGGTTTAGAGATTGGGGCTTCCTTCTGAGAGTGTGTATGAACCTCAGTCTGCCAACTTTAGGATCTGTACCATTGCTGGGATGACAGGCATGCACCGCGGGGTCCAGATTTCCTCTGTAGAGCTGGAGTCTGTCTGGTGAGCCGGCCTGGAATCTCCACCTTCCATATAGCCTGGGATGGCAGTGATGAGTCACTGTGCCTGGCTGTGGGTTGAGGAGGGGGTCTCGTGGGCTTTTCTACCTGGGCTGGCCTTGAACCTGGATCCTCTTACTCCACCGTCCCGTCCCAGTCTCCCTCTAGGATTCCATGAGGGGGCCGCCAGCGTCCAGCTGCCTCTGTGCTGTCTGTGCCAGCAGTTGGAGCATGAACTTAGCAGCGGAAAAGTTGGGGTTTGCTAGTATGTGTCCCAAGGATCGCAGCTGACAGAGGCTTGCCCCAACGAGTGACCTCAGTAGCAGGAGTGAGTGCAGACAGTTGTGACCCCCAGGGTCATCAGCCCTTGGGCTGGGAACCTCTGCAGGCTTTTGATTGTCACATGGGGCTAGGAGTTAGTGGACAGGTGCGTTTCTTTCTCTAGTCCCACTCAGAAAGCAGCATTTCCTGGCCATTCATGAAACTAGGAGAAAGCTGCTGCTGGTTTTGGATACAATGCAGAATTGTCTAAGGTGTCAGCGTGCTGCTGGGCTTTGACTCCCCAGTGCCGTCCTTTCTGGAGCTGGCTGAGGAGGGGTGGCCAGGGCTTCTGAGCCTCTGCCAAAGGCCTGGAGTTGGTTGTGGGATTAATTGGGGGCGCCATCTCCTGCCAGGGGTAGGGCCTTGCCTTTCTCCTGTACTCCAGGAACTCCCAGCTTAAGTCCCACCTTTTTCTAGGAAGAACTTGGGTGTCCATTGGTATCTGATGGGAAGTAATAATCTCATTCCACAAAGTCAGCCCAAAGATGCCACATTACAATGAGAGAGAGAGAGAGAGAGAGAGAGAGAGAATGTACTTGTGCACACATGCCCACCTGTGATAATCTCTAGAATTTCTCCGTGAATCTCCAGTGTAGCTTAGAGATCCCAGTCTGGCTGAAAGGTTCTCATGAGATTTAGCTGAGATTTTAGGAATCTTTTGGCTTCAAGTTATTTATCTTCCCTCCTCCTGGCACTCCCCCCCTTTTCTGCCAAACTTTGACTTTAAAAGCAATGGATTTAAAGATGATCTGGTGTGGGGTGAACTAGGAGGGGTAAAGCAGTTCACCAGGAAATGGAAGCATTTCAGTGCTTTCTTCTCTTTAGGTCCTAGCTTCTCCTGTTGACCTGAGGTTTTAAAGTACTTTCTCTTTACTACCCACCAGTAGGCCTCCACCGCCCCCACCCTGCCCCCACTGGGGGGTTACAGGGTCACTTGTCCTCAAGGGAGAGAAAACCAGGCAGTAAGAAGATTAGCAGGCCAAGAAGGGAAGTGTCTGGGCTGTTTTTCTCTGGCTTCTTATCTTCCTGTAAATCACACTAGCTGCTTCCTTGAGCCTGCTGAATTGTTTTTACTTCAAAAGCAATGGAAGGAAGTGACTTTTGGGAGTTTGCATCCAGCTGATTTAGTCTTGTGATCTCATTTAGTCTAGCTCAGCATTTCTATTTTTCTGTTTTTCTTTGGCAGCACTGAGGTTTGATCTTCTAGCAAGGTGCTCTACCACTTGAGCCAGCTCCTCCACTTTTTTTTTTTTTTTACTATCTCTTCCCCCCTTTTCTGGGTAAAGTTGGTTAAATCTGTACCACCAGAAAACAGAAAATGTGTGTCGTGATATTTTGTGTGTGTGTGTGTGTGTGTGTGTGTGTGTGTGTGTGTGTGTGTACTCATTAGCTGGGCAGGGGGAGTAACTGCTGTGGTTGGAAGGGAAGCGGGATCTTTGCACCCCAAATGTTGTAGAAGGTCTGCTGCCATCCACAGTGGAGGGAAGGAAGGGATCCATGTGTCTCCCTTAGAGTTTTAAAGTGCACCAGCTAGAGGAGCTTGGCCCGTGTGCCTGCAGGTATAGCTCAGCACTCTTAGGCCTCTGGCCTGTTGTATGGTTTAGTGTTCAGCTAGCAGCTCCTTGACTCTGCAGAGGGGCTGTGTCCTGCTGCTCAGGGCTTGCAGGCCCCCTCCCAGCACCAAGCCTTCTCTTCAGGGTTTTTATGGGGGCTTCTGAGCAGCATGATTGGTTACTGACGTTTGGTGATTGACCTCAATTCCAGCCAATCTCCTTTTTCTTAGCTGCCAAAAGTACCTTGGGATAATGTGATTGGTTCTTTTGGACCAACCCCTCTCTAGAAGTCACCTCATTAACATAGGCTCAGGTGCTGTGGGAAGGGGCTTGTTAGGTGGTTCCCTGGCAGCAGCAGGGGACGTAGAGTGGGAAAAAGGGCCAGGTGTGGGGCTGGGTGGGAAGAGGATGGGCAAGGCCTTCGGCCTAGGTGGGATTGGAGCGGCAGCGTCAGGCCAGGTAGGGCTGATGCCCTGTATGTTGGCAGGGGACGGTGAGGGACTGGTTGGGCAGGATGAATGGAGGCAGAACTTACAGGCTGGAGAACAAGGATCTGGACAGAGCCCTTACAAATCAAGCTACTCACTTTCCCAGTAACTCATGTTCCGTACTGACCCTGGCATGGTAGGGATATAGCAAGCTAAACTCTTTTCTCAAAAGCCTTCAGATAATTGTACACAACCTTTGCACGGCGACAGAGTGAGGCTCAGGTGACAGCAGCTGTAAGGAACAACCCAAACGAGTTCCAGGAGGTCAGCAAGACAGACCAGAGCCTGGTCACACCTGTTTTTAGGCTTCCTAGGATTAGGATTGGGTGTGCTGGCCCTACTGGGCTGGGGGTGGCTGGCCTTGTTGATGGGGGTTGGGGCGATGGGCTGTGGGGGTGGCTGTCCTAGAGAACATTCTAGAAACAAGGTGATCTGAGCCAGTATGGACGTGGAACGTGGGACCTGTTCTTGAAGTGTGTGGGTGGGGTCCTGGGTGGCTCTGGGTGGCTCTCCAGTTAACTGCTGGTGTGTGCATGTGCGTCTGTCTTTTCCCAGGCCCAGACCATGAATTACGTGGGGCAGCTGGCGGGCCAGGTGTTTGTGACCGTGAAGGAGCTGTACAAGGGGCTGAACCCTGCCACGCTGTCGGGATGCATCGACATCATCGTCATCCGTCAGCCCAACGGGAGCCTGCAGTGCTCCCCCTTCCACGTGCGCTTTGGGAAGATGGGGGTCCTGCGCTCCCGGGAGAAAGTGGTGAGGCGGGGCCTGGTGCCTAGGCTCACCATCTCTCTGTGGTGTGTCTTTGCTTTCGCCTGTCCTAAGCTGCTTGACCCCGATTCCTAGCGCTCCATTGGAAATGGCGGACAGTTAATAATTTACACAGTTCCAGTGACCTTGGCTGTGCGGGTCGACCACTCTAAGTTGTTGTGCATATGCTGGCTGTCAGTCAAGGCCTGGATCCCAGGATGGTTCATTACAGCTCTCTACGACGTGGGGGCCTTCACTGGAAGACGCAGGGCTGGAGGCTGGGATCACGGCACACTCGCTGTCTCCATGTCTAGCACTGGTTCTGGCTCTTGGCTGTGCTCTTAGCCAACGCTGTTGGCCAGAGCCCCTCCTTGGGTGTTGGGCTCCCTTACAGCATGGCGGCCGGTCGTGAGCTACGGAGCCCGTGGAGGCTGTGTTCTCATGACCCCACCTTGGAAGCCCTGTGGGTTCACTTCCATTGCACCTTACTGATTGGGTACAGCAGGCTCACGGAGAAGAGCTGCATGGCAGCTCTTCCCTACTGATGGCAGGGGCAGGGCTCTGGAAGGACATGTAAAGGACCCAAAATTCTGATGTAGCCATTTTTGGGAAAGATTATAGGCCACACAGATGGAAAGAAATCCTTAAAACTAGGTCAACCATTTCACATCCCTCCTTAATGTGGAACTGAAATTATGCTTTACCATCATCATTATTATTTTGGTAGTGCTGAGCCATGCTGCTAACCCTGGTTCTTTGGGTTTTTTTTTGGTTGTTGTTGTGGTACTGTGGTTTTGAAATGAAAGTCTTGCACTTACAGTGAAAGCTCTCCCATTTGAGCCATACTCCCAGTCTTTTCGTCTAGTTTATTTTTTATACGGGGTTTTGAGCTTTTTCCTAGGGCTGTCTCTGCACTGAGATTCTCCTACCTCTGCCTTGGGATTAGCTAGGGTGACAGGCATGTGGCACCATGCCTGTGGTATAATTGGTTTTAAGTTGAAGCGAATGATGTTGGCTGAAAGTATTTTAAGGAGTCCAACCTCTAGCAGACAAAAGTTCCAGGGTGTCAAAGGCTGGGCAGGGGAGGTGATCACTGCAGTGTGAACCTGACCTTTACTACCTGCTGTGCCATTCTCGTGTGCCAGGCACTCTCCTTGTCTGCCCTCAGCTGAAAAAGGGAGGAGCCGGAGGGCTTTTCCATCCTGGGATCCACCCTTCTTGGTCAGGACTGCAGCTGTACCTTGTGTGCAGGGTGCTTGCCGTTGAGGGGGTCGGCTGAGATTTGGGGCTCTGGGTGGGGTCAGAGCGTGTGTGGAAAGGCTTGGCCTGCCCTTGAGGGCTCCCGAGGTGGCGAAGGAGGCTCACTGTGTCCTTCGCGTCTCCTTCAGGTGGACATAGAAATCAACGGGGAGTCGGTGGACTTGCACATGAAGCTGGGAGACAACGGAGAAGCGTTTTTTGTGCAGGAGGCTGATAACGACCAGGTGAGGATGTGGAGGCCGCTGCGGGCAGCTGTGGCCCCAGCTCGAGCTCGCGTTTCCTTTTTTATAACACAAATTTGTTTTTTAAATTTAATTTTACCTCTAAGGAGTTGTAGATAGGGGCTTCAGTTCAACGTGTCCGTTTGTGAGTACAGTGCATCTCCATAAATGCCAGCGATGATGTCATTTGCAGGGAAATGGGTGGACCTGGAGCAATTCACCTTCATTGAAGTCAGTTAGGCTTAGAGAGAGACAAAGGACACGTGTTTTTTTCTCCTGTGGAAGTTAGATCTAAATGATAAATATATCTAAACATACCCAGAGTTATATGTCTATGTATGCAAACTCACTGAAGGAGGATAGACACGGGGAATTCCTATGGTGTAAGTCCTTTGAACAACTGACATAGAGTTTAACAACATATGAGTTTATCAGGAAGCTGAGATTTGTGTTTTGGGGAGGGAGGGGAGAGGTCAAAGAGAGAGGAAGCAGACGAATTGAGAGAGGAAGGGTGGGTGAAATTGTCACAATATTCGGTGCCCAGATGTGCAAATGGAGCCAGGTAAACTGAGGGGATGGTGGGGGCAGGGAAGGCAGAACCGCAGGGGGGGTTTTGAGCTGTGAGCAGTGGTTCCTGAGCACATGGCATGCAGGGATTTGCGTGGAGAGGTAACCATGGCTCTCTTTTCTCCGTGGGAGGGACTGAGCAGGTCAGGCTGTCAGGGATCTGAGTGCACACAGACCCAGCACCTGGCCGGCTTCAGGCTTCTCGCCGTTTCCACAGAGATGAAGGGTAACGGTGGGCATTCCACCTTGGCCCAAACCATTGTCAAAGCAGGATGAAACCGGTACATCAAATATCACATGGCCCAGTGTCTTAGTTTTTCCTTAGTGATTGCCCCAACCTCTTTCTTTTCTCTTCATTTTTCTTTTCCTTTGCTATTGTAGAGTGCTAGCCCTGAGTGACAAAGCTCAGGACAGCGCCCAGGCCCTGAGTTCAAGCACGCATGCACACACACATACATAGGGCATGGCTCTCAGTGGGGGTCCAGGACTCTAGGTTGTGGTGACAGCGACAGGGCAGTGGCAGCGCTGTGGCCCCCAGTAGTGCTGGGCTCCCAGGGGTCCCCGAGGGCCTTGGCGTTGCTGGGTCTCCTGCACCCCACTTCACGAGGCTCTTGGAAATCCTGCCCTTTGCTTTAGGAGGTGATCCCCATGTACCTGGCCACCTCCCCCATCCTGTCGGAAGGGGTGTCGCGGATGGAGTGCCAGTTGAAAAGGAACTCGGTGGACAGAGTCAGGAGCCTGGACTCTACCACGCCCTCCCAGAGCTTGGCCACCAGTGAGACCCCGTCCAGCTGCTCACTGGTAAAGAAGAGAAGGAAGAGGAGGCGGAAGTCCCAGCTGGACAGCCTGAAAAGAGATGACAGCAGCCACACGTCGGAGGACGAGGACATGTTTCCCATAGAGATGAGCTCTGACGAGGACACGGGGACCCTGGATAGCAGCAGGTGCATGTTGGGGGCCCACAGCAGGGCCTGCAGGGGGTTGGATGAATTACATTCCCCCTCTATTTTTTGCTGGCTCTGGGGTTTGAATTTAGGACTTCAGACTCATTCTCCTGGCGCTCCACTACTTGAGCCACGCCTCCAGCCTCGCTTTTTGTTGGTTATTTGGGAATCTTGCTGAATTTCTTACCCAGGCTGGCTTTGAACTATGATCCTCTGGATCTCAGCCTCTCAAGTAGCTAGGATTACAGGCCTGAGTCATCAGTGCCCTGTGATCTTTTCTCAGTAGCGTAAAGAATATCCCTCGGCTTTGTTATTGATCATCTAATGTATTTATTTCTGGATGAAAACAGAGATGGATGGGCACAGCATTGGCCTGCCCACCTCCAGCCCTCTCCACTGAGGCTCAGAAGCGGGCCAGCTAGAATTGTTGCACTGACCCTCCCGCCACGGCTGATGGTCTAGAACGTGGCATTTCAGGCAGCATAGAAAGTACAGACAGTGGCCTGGGCAGGGGTGGAATGGAGTATTGTGTGGTGTGCTTGCACCTGAAGCTAGCAGTTGGTCAGGCACTTTGTAATCAAGAGACACTTACCTGGTGCCATTTCTTTTGCCAGACAGCACACAGTCTGCACGTGGCCATTCATTTATTCAGCAGCTCCTTCTATACACGCACCCCGCTGGGTCAGCTTTGGGCGGAGCTACCTCTCAAAGCCCTTGTGAGTTGAACTATGCAAGGCAACAGTAAGATACCATAGTGGAAGCCAGGTCTAGTGATGTAGACCTGTAATCCCAGACCCTGGGAAGGGGAGGCAGGAAGAGCACGACTTGGGGGCCAGCCCGGGCAAGTTAGGGAGACCCCATCTCAAAATGAAAGAGAGAAAGGACTGGGAGGCAGCTCCGTGGTGGGAGGCTTGACCAATGTGTCCAAGGCCCTGACCCTCTCCAGTCCCACCAGAGCGCGTTAGGTTTATAACCCAGCCGGAGTACAAAGGCACGGGCGTGTTTCCATGGGCTTGCCTTTCCCGTCTGCGCGCCTGGCCTCTGCTCGGGGGTCGCGCAGCCAACAGAACAGTCAAGAAAAAGAAATCAGAACTTGACTTCAGTAAGATTCTAGCACAAGTCCTTCTTTGGCTTTAACCTTTTCTTATTCTTTTTCTTCAGAACTCTTCATACTGACACACTGCCATTCCAAGACGATATTCCTAAGAAGAACCTTCCCTGTGTCTCCCCGTACCCCCAGTCAGCGTCGTACCCCAGTTCTGATAGAGAGTGGTCCCCCAACCCCAGGTGAGTTGCTGGTGTGTGTGTGCACCTGTCCTGCTCCAGTGAGTTACAAGTCCATTGGAGGAACGGAAAAAAGAGAAATAGGGGTTAAAAAAAATAATTAGGACCAGCAAAACTGCAGAAGAGCAAAACTAACGGGACCGCAGAATTCCATCTGAGCTCCCTGGGCCAGGACGGGAGGGAAAGGCTCTGCCCCGGCTACCTGATGCTGAACGCCAGCCCAGGACGGGGTGGTGGAGCCTTTCTCAGTCCAGCCCTAACGCAGGGTTTGAAAGCCAAGGCCGAGCTTCAGGCTGCCTTCCCCGGGCTTGAGCCATGATGCTGAGTTCAAAAAATAGTAACACTTCTCTGCAGTGTACTTGCCAGGCGCCCCCTGCTGGCCGGTGTGAACTTGACAGCGAGGCAGCCGGCGCGTAGATGGCTCCCCAGGCCTGGGCAGGCATCCGCCTGTTGTGTGTGCTCACAGGGGTCCCAGCTCTGTTGGAGTGGCACACAAATCCTGGACATTATAATGGCTGGGGGCCACCGAAGGCCCACAGTAGTAAAACATCCTGGTCAGCAGGGGAGTGGGAAGTGACTGGGCCCTGGCCAGTCTCATCAGAATACCCTTCTTGATTCTAGTTTGCTCAGGGTGATCATCAGAGGGAGACAGCAGCAGTGCAGAGAGTGGGGGAGCTGGGGTTGTGGGGCGTGTAGATGTGTCCCACACCCAGCTCTAGCTGAGTGGAGGATGAGCCTGGGCCCAGCGATGGAGTCGCTCTGTGATGGTCAGCCTGCCTCAGAGACTAGCCCTGACCACTAGGACACGGGGCTTAGCTTTATGTGTGACTTCACATGCTCTACTACTTCATTTAAAAAATAAAGAGAAAAAAAGGTGAAACTTCATTTCATTCTATGTATCTGAAATATTAAATAAGTAATTCAGGTTACAGTGATTATTGCTATCGTTCAGTTTTCATGCCAGGTCTTAAAAATGAATGCTGTGCATATATCTCCACAGAGACAGACACATTTGTAAAGCTCAGCGGGACATAGAACCTGTAACTTGTTATAGGAGACAGTGCCCATTGAATACTGTTCTAGAATCTCCTGATCTTGACCTGGGTCTGTCGAGAAAGTCCCCATGGTGAGAAAGCAGAGGGAGAAAACAATGCAGAATATTTAGAAACCATTAATAGGTTGAAGAATCTCCATATTAATCTTAAGAATTTCAAAGGCATGTTTAATACACTTCCCCACGTATTTTTTTCCCTTTGCTTTGGGAATCCAGAATAACAATGGTGTCAGGTTTTGTAGATGAGAAGCATTGTGAAATGCAATGACCAATTAGGATAAGTGATACATTGCCATCCTCCGAATGATGGATTTTCTTAAAAGAGACAATAGCAGTCCAGACAATCACATCGTTGGAAAATGACTGTAGTTCGATGCAGTACTGATCTATGACCATTAACTCTGGTCTGGTCACGTGGGTGGTGTGGGAAGCAAAATGGGTTTTTCTGTAGTTTCTCTCCTGTTTTTTTTTTTTTTTTGTGATACAGAAAGCTCATATTATTGCCTTAGAGATTTCAACAGAGCCCTCTGCCATCAGCTGTCTGGATATTTTCATTTTCTCAAAAATGTTATTGACAGGAGCCAAAGACCAGATTAGACATTTCATCCTGCTGACCTGTGATCTCTTTTTCTTTCTTTCCAATGTGTATCCAGCAGCCCGGTAGATTGCAAAAGGACCCCCCCTCATCTTGTGGTCGCAGCCGAGGGAGTTCTGTCTAGTTCTTGCCCGCCACAGTCCTCCCATTTCCATGCTTCGGAAAGGTAGACGAGTTCGTTTTCAGTAACACAGAATGTGAGCTAACTCCTAGATGATGGACTATTTTACCATTAACCAAATAACTTATAATGATGATTTGAAATAGAATTTTTCATCTAACTCTTACAAATGCATTTTGCCAACTAACCAACTTATGATGAAAATATATAGAATATTATTTCCCTTTTTGTTTCTAATATTTATAGATTATTAGATTAAATAGTCTTTAAGTTCTAAATCTGACTCTCTGGAAACGATGGTTATCATTCTAGCTAATTCTGTAGAGTGCCTTGAACACCAAAAGAATGAGATATTCACCTTGACAATCTGCTCTTTTGTCTGACCAAATAAGTCTCCAAGATATTTTTAGGATGCTGATTTAGTATAAGCCAAGTTACTTATAAATATTTAAGTAGTCTATTAGGCGATCTGAATAATGGATTCAGACCTTTTGCACACCATTTTTGGAACAAAACTGCTGTTGGATCTTAGGAATACAGGTTGGAGTTTTCATTGGATACTTTCATTCCTTTCTGTAGTCCATGCAGCGACCTCCCTCCTGCGGACCTCCATGCTTTGTTTATGGCATAAGCTATCAGCCAAGGAAGCTGTGTGTGACTTACTCATTCTGTTTTCTTGTTTTTGTGGTGGTACTGGGGCTTAAACTCAGGGCCTCAGTCTCTCACTTGGCTTTTTCTGCCAGAAGACTAGCACTTTACCACCTGAGCCACATCTCTACTTCTGGCTTTGTGCTAGTTAATTGGAGGTAAGAGCCTCACAGACTTTCCTGCCCAGGTTGGCTTTGAACTTCTCCCTGTGTTCATCTGTAGTTGGCCTGGCATCCCTCAGGTGCCAGATGCAAAATGGCCATGTGTGTTTGTGCCTGGGGGCAGGATTGATTTTGGTGGCACATTAAGGAGAGGAGAGTTTCTGGTGTAAGATCTGCACACAGGGCAGCTTCTTCCTGAGTGCCAGCTTATAAACTTGAGTGCTCAGGAGTCTCTCCCTTGTGACTGTCACAAAAGGGCCAGAAAGTTCATGACTCTGGAGCTGGGAGGTGCAGCAGAGAACTGTGCTCAGCACTTTTATTCTGGAACTGCAGTTGTTGAGCGTGGCCCTGGGACTGACCTGGCTTGTGCTCTGCTTTTGTGCAGCTTTGCTGGAGCCTGGCCAGTCCCATTACACAGCTGCAGTGGCTCTTTTGTGCTGTGAGGGCAGAATCGAGTAGCCAAGTGACCACTGAGGGCCATCTGACCCACACAGCCATTATCTCCGAGCTCTGGCAGAAACGGTGTGCCAACCCTTGAAGCTCTCCCAAAGAGTCTCAGTGAATTTAGTGGCGGTGGCTGGGACAGATAGAGAGCAAGGTGTGCACTGGCGCTGGGTACAGGGGCAGCGTGGGCAGGGAGGCAGTTGAAGGGTCTTGGAGGCGCTGGGGGAGACGCTGAGGGCACAGTGTGTGACTTCCATTCCCTGCTCCACTGGCATTGAACTTGTGATTGTGGATGTGGCACCTAGGAACAGTCCTTCCTGTGGAGAAAAGCATCGGAGAAGAAGAGAGGGAGCCAGGAAGGCCGGGAGACAGGGAGCCCCAGCATCAGGCCTGGGGAGACACGCTCAGTGTAGCTTGACCAGAGCCAGGGCCGGTTGAGCCACAAGGGAGCCACCACGAAGGATCCCCTCAGGTGGGTGCACATCATGTGCAGCCCTGAGCTCCCCGTGTGCCCACAGCAAAGCTCGAGCCTTCGGTTGGGATGAATGAGGCCACACGCACTGATGGGAGGTTGCCTGAAAGATACAGTCGGTGAGAGGTGTGGATGAAAATTATGCTCTGTTTCTTGCTTATGGAGAAGCACTGCCCTCTTTCAAGGAGAAAACGTGGGAGATGACAGATAACCGAATGGCATTTTCTCTTCTTTGGAAGTGTTGGGATTTGAACTCTAGGACTTGTGGTTGCTAGCCGGGCACTCTACCCACTGAGCCATGCCCCCAGCCCTTTCTTGCACTGGTTATTTTTGAGGTAGTCTGGGTTCCTGCCTGAGCGCGGAGTTCATCTGCTTATGCAACCCCCAAAGCTAGGATTGTAGGCATGTGCTCCCTTGTGTTCAGCAGTTGATGAGGGGATCTTACCAAGTCCCCTCCTTCCCCCACCCAGGCCAGCTTCACCTTTGATCCTCCCTTTCTCAGCCTCCCAAGTAGCTAGGATTATAAACACAAGCCACCAGTTCCCAGTTTAAATGGTGTTTTCTTTCTGTCTAGATGTTAATTGCTTCTTCGGCCAGTTGGTTTGGCTGCACAGCAGTAAGATTTTGTGAAGGTCTCTGGAGCACACATATAGCAAGCAGAGAGTGAGAAGGTGACGCACCATTTAGAAGCTGGCCTCAAAGTGGCATGATGCCACTGTCCCCACAGAGTTGGGCCTTTGAGAATGGCAGGGTCTCTGAAGGATTCCCAGAACACTCAGCGGCTTATAAGATGTCAGTCTGTATGTCTAGTAAAGTCAGTATATGGTGCTGTGTTGCTGTTTCCAAAGCTAGTGCAGATTTGTAAATATTTAAATCATGGGATATAATGTTGCCTGCCAGGACCCTGCGTGGCTGCCCGACAGTTGAGATGCATCTTGTGCCAGTCGAGGGCTCAGCTCAGGGTGAGCCGATTGTGTGTATGCTGGCCCTGGAGCTTGAACTCAGGGCCTGGGTATTGTCCCTTACCTCAAAGCTGACATTCTACCACTTGAACCATACCTCCACTTTCAGCTTTTTGGTGCTATTATAATAGGAATAGGAATAGGAACTTCACAGACTTTTCTTCCTGGGCTGGCAACAAATTATGATCCTCAGATCTCAGGCTCCTGAGTAACTAGATTACAGGCATGTATTTTTCCTCTGCCTGTCTGTCTGTCTGTCTGTCTCTTTTCTAGATGCTGCATTTCTTATCTTGTCTCTCCTGAATTTGGCAGTCATTTGTTTTTGGTCACCCACATTTTGGGAATATCTTCCTCCTGGAAGCCAGGTGCATGGACCCCTGGTGGCCAAAGACGGGATTGCCCCAAGGCTGTGCTCCCAAGGGGCTGGTATCTAGGTGTATTTTCTGGGTTATTTGAACCCTGGATTTGAGTCAAAGACAAGGAAAGAGTTTCTTTCCTCACTTACATTGTGAGTTTGTGTTTTCTTAAGTCCCTCAGGGTCCCGACCCTCAACCCCCAAAAGCGACTCAGAATTGGTCAGCAAGTCCACGGACAGACCCATGCAGAAGAACAACCTAGAAATGCTGTGGCTTTGGGGAGAATTGCCACAGGCTGCAAAGGTGAGTCCTTCCTCACGTCTGCCATGCATGATGATCTCCACATTAGCCAGATCCAGCTTTCTGCTGGTTCCATGGGCTTTCCGTGTTGGTTTTGAACCGTCGTCCTCAGATCTCAGCCTCCTGAGGATCTGGGATTACAGGCCCGAGCCGCTGGCACACCTGGCTCGCTCATAAATCAGTCTTACTTTTGATCAAGTGAATTGTTTTCCATAACTGGAAATCCCTATAGGTGTGGTCAGTTGTCATCTCTGTGAATGAGGGACCACCATTTGGGGGCTAATTCACTGAAACATAGTGCATAGAGAGGCATGTTGGATCCTGAGTGAGTAGCATAGCTGAGATTTCACTTGTCCACGCAGCTTGCCTGCAGATGGACACAGGCAGGGCGTGGTCAGCTGGGTTGGGGCCAGTCCCTGCAGTTGCCACCACCTTGACTTGCTGTCCCCACAAGGATGGACAATCAGAGGGGATTTTATGGGCCACACTGTCAGCCATTTTTGTGTGGTTTGAGAAAAGGTCTCACTGTATGCTCAGGCTGGGCTAGACTCCTATTTGGACTTGAATGGTAGGTGTACCCTACTGAGCCCAGCCTTATGTCCCTTCCCCCCTCAGCTGGATAGGCCAGCTGTGTACCACCGTGCCCAGCCATTGGTTGAGAGGGAGTCTCTCAGATTCCCCCTACCCTTCTCCAGGATGACAGGCTTGAGTCACCCTGGCTGGCTAATGAGTTTTTTCTTATTGATGTGATTATACCATCTACTGAGCCCTTGACATTGCCTGCACTTGCTGCTATTTGCCTCACTTTTGTCTGGTAGTTGATGTTCTATGTGAAACCTCATTTACTTTGGAATTAGTACTTTGGCTTCGGACTTCTGGGCATGCATGAAAAACAACAGGTGGTCCTTAGGTTGAAAAGTCTCTGCCATGCATTATTCATTGACCACATTTCTTTGGTAACTCTTTCTCTTTGCCTGTGCTTGGACTTTATCCTTGAGATACCACCTCACCCCAGTTAGAATGGCTATAATCAAGAAATCTAATAACAACAGATGCTGGAGGGGATGTGGCCAAAAGGGAACCATACTGCATTGATGGTGGGAGTGTAAACTTTGGAAAGCAGTATGGAGGTTCCTCAAAAGACTCCACATAGAGCTCCTCTGTGACCCAGCAATCCCACTTTTGTACATTTACCCAAATGATCACAAACAAAACCATACTAAAGCTTACCAGCACAACTATGTTTATTGCAGCATTATTCACCATAGCTAAGATATGGAATCAACCCAGATGCCTCTCAGTAGATGAATGGATGAAGAAAATGTGGTATATATACACAATGGAATTCTATGCCTCCATTGGACTTTTTCTCGACTCAGTCTCTCTCTCTTCTTTGGTTTAGTCATCTTCTCCACACAAGATGAAAGAATCCAGCCCCTTGTGCAGCAGGAAAATTTGTGAGAAGACTCACTTCCAGGCCATTCACAGCGAGTCTTCAGATACCTTCAGTGACCAGTCCCCAACCTTAGTGGAAGCGCCACTCGCAGAGCCCAGCAAGCCTCCCATGGAAATGCAGTTTGTGTGTGAAGACGACCTGGAGGCTTTGGGAGCGGCCGCCCCACCTCTACCTATGGCCGAAGAGCTCAAGTCCCCGGCTGCCAGCTCCTTGCAGATGGGGGCCAAGATGGACTCTCCTTCTAGGAAGAAGGGTATGAGGCCCAGGCTTCCTTTCCAGCCCTCTATCCAGGCTCTGTGCATAGCAGAGTTCCTCCTTCCTCCCCAGGTTCAAAGTCAAGGTTTCCTTCTCCTATGTGTTTGGGGCCAGAAGTGAGTCCAGTTTTAGAATGCGTAGCCAGGGTTGTGAAATGTGCAAGCCATGCCTCGTTGCGTGGTGAAGCCACGCTCCATGCAGGGCCACACACACACCTGCTCCCACTCTGGTTCTTGGGCCGGTTCTGCCCACAGTGCCCCGGGTCCTGCAGCTCTGAGTCCGCGGGGTTTCTGGCAGTGCTCTGACTGGATTGTTCACTCTTTCAGATAAACGGAGTAGACATCTAGGCGCCGACGGCGTCTACCTCGACGACCTCACGGACATGGATCCAGAAGTGGCAGCCCTGTATTTCCCCAAAAAGTAAAACTTCTCTCTGTTCTTCCTATTTTCTGTCCTGTGAGGATTAGTCTGCATGAGTCCAGTGTTCCCCGATTGTGAGACAGGACACAAAGGCAGCATGGGGAACGGGATTGGCATTTGACTCAGGAAGTCTCAGACACGCCCTTGAATCTGATGTGCCCATTGGTGTGTGGCCTAGGGCTGCCCAGAGCTCCGAATGGGAGCCTGGGCTCCAGGTTGTGCCCCATGACAAAACCCCAGGCTGGGTCACAGGTCAGTGGCCCACCAGCTGCCTGGGACATTTTCCTCTCTGGAGAGATTCTCGTGTGGTCCTTGGAGACCCCAGCCTGCGCCCCCTGGGATGGGGCTGGGCCAGCTCCCTGATGGGTAAGTGGTTGGAGCACTGCCCTTGTCCGTGGTACATCCTTCACGGTTTGTTTCACAAGGGATTGCAGAGTTGGAGGAGAAAGCAGGCCACCCATGATTGCGTTCTCTCCTGGGGTGAACTTACTTCACTGCAAACCTGTCCTGACATGAAATCATCTGCTCCTCCAGGGGTGGCAGCCTGGCAGAGGGTCACGTGATGTCACGCGCGGATCACGTGACATGGGTGTGGGGCCTCAGGGATGGAAAAGGCCCCACAACAGCTCCTCCTTCCTCCTTCCAGCGGAGACCCCCCGGGGCTCGCCAAGCCTGCCAGCGACTGTGGAGTGCGGTCGGCCAACCAGTCCCCGCAGTCGGTGGGCAGCTCCGGCATTGACAGCGGCATGGAGAGCACCTCGGACGGGCTGAGGGACCTGCCCTCCATCGCCATCTCCCTCTGTGGGGGGCTCAGCGACCACCGGGAGATCACAAAAGGTACTGGCCAAGGAACGAGGAAGGTGAGGAGGTCAGGGCCGGCCAGGCCCCGAGGATGCAGTGTAGGGCTGCTGTCTGGTGCCCCAGTCCTGTGGCCTCTGGCTTGGTCATTGAGGGGGGACGCTGTCCCCCACCCATTCCCCCCAGGTGACAGTCTAAGCGGCCCAGCCGCCCACACCGCTCAAGCCTACTTTGGACAGGACATTGATTTTCATTCACCTCCCTCTCCCTTCTTCACAACCCCTAGGAGGTGGACGTGGCCACAACCCCCCCCCCCCGCCCCGCCCCGGGGTTCAAACCCTGGCAGCCAGGGTTTGAGCTGATGGCGCTGATAGCCACTGCTCTGCCTCTGGACGTCCCAGTGCAGGGCACATGGCCCCAAACGCAGTGCCCTGGGCTTGGTGCCAGCCTCACGCATGCTGCAGGCCCTTCATGGTACCTTACCTGCATCGGCTGCACCTTTACATGCATCAGCTGCACCGTTGGAATGTGTGAACTCTCAGAAAACGTTCAGGCGTGGGTGGAGTTGGCCTGCTTGTAACCACAGTGCCCTTGCTTTTCCCTTCACCCCTCCCATGGCCGTCGCAGACGCATTTCTGGAGCAGGCCGTGTCGTACCAACAGTTTGTGGACAACCCCGCCATCATCGACGACCCCAACCTGGTGGTGAAGATCGGCAATAAGTAAGTGCTGTCGCAGGTTACCCTGCCACTGCTCCATACTGTTTGAATATACAGACGTAGGTGTTCAACCTCAGAACTACGTCAAATAGTCTCGACATAAGCTCTTTGCCATTGGCTAATTCTGGGTTCCCTTGTCGCAGATGGCCTGAGGTGTCTGATTGTAATATACAGCTCTACTGAGGTTTTTTCTTCATCCTTCCCCTTCCTCTCTCCTTCCCTTTCTCCCTCCTTCCCTCCCCCTCCCCACTTCTCCTCCCCTCTTCTCCTCCCTTTCTCCTCCTCCCTCCTTTCTCCCCCCCTGTCCCCCTCCCTCTCCCCTCTCCCTCCTCTTCCCATCTCTCCTTTCTCCTTTCCCCTCTCCCTCTCCTTTCTCTCCCTCCCCCTTCTTTTTCCCTCCCCCCTCTCCCCTCTCCTCCCTCTCCCTTCTCCTTCTTCTCTCTTTCCCTGCCTCTTTCTTTCTTGGCCCATCTTTCTTGGTCCCCTTTTACCGGAACTTGAACTCAGGGCTTTGAGCTTTTGCTTGGCTTTTTCACTCAAGGCCACAACTTCAGCCACAGCTCTACTTTTTTTGGCTTTTTGCTGGTTAATGGGAGATAAGAGTCTATGGACTTTCCTCTCCCAGCTAGCCTTGAGCGGCAGTCTTCCGATCTCAGCCTGCTGCGTAGCTAGGATTACAGTGCAGCACCCCTCTGTACTGGCTTTCAGATTGACCACATAAAGTGTGGTGCCTCGTCTGGGGGCTTTGTGCCCTGTGCTGTGCTGGGTATGCAGTGAAGCTGCCCTCTTAGAGCTGTCCTTATCTGAGGCTGGAACTGCGTGTGTCTCGGTGGACAGGTGGCACACTTGCCTCCTGAGTGGAAGTCACGCTGCTGGAGTTGCCCTGTCCTTAAAGCATGGCAGGCTGTGCCACAGGTTGGCTCATGGCCTGGTGCTGGGGCTGCACAGGGGACTTGGCTGCCGTTCAGCTAGCATTGTGTGCAGTTGTCACTGTGTCCCTGCTGCCACCTTGCCGTGGCTTTTGGGGTTTGATGGTGGAGGGAGAAGTAGCAGCAGGGCGGGGCTCTGAGGGTCTCCTGGGGCCTCGGGGCTTTCTGTGAGTCTGTGCGAGACATCAGGAAGGTGTTCAGTGTGGGCTGTGGGCTTCTCACGTCTGTCTCGTTACTCCATCCATCAGGTATTATAATTGGACAACAGCAGCGCCTCTGCTCCTGGCAATGCAAGCCTTCCAGAAACCTTTGCCAAAGGTGAGCGTTAACACGAGAAAGATGGGGGGGGGCGGGGCGCGGGTAACTGGGACGGGGTCGGGGGGAGATTTAGCGTTCACTTTAGAAACCCCCAACTGAATTGCTCTGTGCTGACTTGAGCTTTGGGAATACTAATGTGGGGAGTTTTGGATCCGGAACGTCCTGCCCCCTCCTGGGTGCCAGGGCCAAACTCCCCCCTCAAGGCCTTGAGGACCAGGGAGCCTGTTCTCAGCATTGGCTGCACCAGATTATGAGTGGATGTCAGAGCCAAGTGGTGACGAGGAGGGAGGGCGCAGGCAGGGAAGGAGGGCGTTAGGAGACGAAGGTAACGTTGGGTGCAGCTCAACAGGATGCAGCCCTGTGCCTGATTCTGAGCCAAGAGAAGCACATACCCATAATTCCTTTGGCATGGAGTGTGTGTGTGTGTGTGAGTGTGTGTGTGTGTGTGTGTGTGTGTATGTATGTGTGCATGCGCCAGTATTGAGGCTTCAACTCAGGCCTTACACTCTCTCTTGGCTTTTGTTCTCAAATGCTCTACCACTTCGGCCACCTCCACTTTTTTTTTGCTGGTTAATTGGAGATAAGCCATTTTCTTGGCTTCTCATTTCCTGGTCATAACTGTATATGTCTGCTCAGGCTGGCTTTGAACCCCGATCCTCAGATCTCCCTTCCTGAGTAGCTTGGATTACATGTGTAAGCCTCCAGCACCCAGTGGAATTGTAGGGTTTTGTTATAGAGACCCCCATCTTAGATTTGCTTCCTTGGTACACTTAGCCAGGGCTTGGTACCGCAGAAACTCTTGCCCAGAGTTCTATCATTTGTGGCTCTTAAAGGTCAAATCTGGCGTTGTTGAGTCTGCGCTTGCTCCTTCAAGGCTGTGTCTGTTGTGATGAGGGGATGTTTGTTCTGCTGAGTGGATTTCGTTATGTCCTTGTCAGCTTCTTCCTGGTGTTTGTACCCTGGGATACGTTTTCATATTATTTCTTAAGTCTTACAAATTAGTAAGAAAAAGGAAGGACAGTTGTAATAGAAATATAGTTTAAAAAGTTTATAGGAAAATGCTCAAATGTAAGCCAGTCCTTTTGACAGGCACTGAACAGATTCTTAGTAGTATTTTTTCTTTTCTCTTTCCTCTCTCTCTCTCTCTCTGTCTTTCTCCCTCCTTCCCTCCCTCCCTCCTTCCTTCCTTCCTTCTTTTTGTGGGGCTTGAACGCATTGCTCCTGAGGTCTTTTTGCTCAAGGCTAGCACTTTGAGCCATAGCCCCACTTTCAGTTTTCTGGTGCTTAATTGGAGATAAAAGTCTCGTGGGCTGGCTTTGAAGTATGACACTCAGATCTCAGCCCCCTGAGTAGTAAGATTATACAGGTGTGAACCACTGGAGCCCGGCTGTTTCTTTTTTTTAATTTTCTTTCTATTTATGGTGTTTCTCTAGTTCAGAAATTATTTTCATATGTAGAATTATCTTTTCTCTTACGGCTGTTGGGTTTTGTGTATACTTAGAATGATCTTGCTTCGCCATTTCTAAAACCTGTGGAAATATTCCCTGTATTTTCTTTATGTGCTTTGTTTTACTTTAAATCTTTGATCCAACTATAATTCTTTGGAGAGTAATAAGGGAATTTCAGGAACCTAATTCATTTTCCCCAGATGCTTATTGAACCAGGGCACTTTGGGTTGCAGAAAACAATGATTAGACATGACTTAAATACTATGGATTTATTATCTGCTATGACAGGAATCTTAGAGGTTGCTCTGTTGGGGCTTGATGAATTCTCTGTGATTTTTCTTGGCTTTTCATTTCCTGGTCATAAATGACAGCTTTACATGTTGTCTCCTTACACAACCATATCCAGAGTGGGAAGGAGGGGGCAGATTCCTGACATTTCATTGGCTCGAACTTGATCACTTTTAACCTGGTTGTTGGCCGAACATTGGAGTAGTGCTCTCAGTGGAGTAGCTGTCAGTCAGTAGTGTGGACCAGTTGAGTTTGTCTTCTGGAACTGAACCTTCCACAATATTTTTCAGCCAGATTCTTGGCTTTGTTGCCAAGAAAGAAGGGAGGAGGGCATGTGGGCAAGTAACTAGCTTCATAATCATCCCAGTACCATTTATTTTTATTAAATAGTCATTTCCCCCATGGATTACTGATTACAACTCTTTGTAGTCAATAGCTCCATGACTTTGGATTATTTTTAAGTTTTCTGCTATGTTTACTCATGGACCAGCACTGCATACTCCTAGTTACTATAGCTTTAAAATATTTTTAATACTTGGTAAATCCTGGTTACTATTATCCTTCTGTCTGAGAGCTTTTTTGACTATTTTGTTTTTTCAAATAAACTTTAGAATCAGTGTGTCTAGGTCTAAAATGCTGTTTTTTTAAAAAAAATTGGGTGTAGTTATTCATGAGTTAAGGGAGAAATAAGGAAAATGATTTCTTCTTTTGAAAAAGTTTTTAGAATATTTTTTATTATCTATCGGTAGTGTACAAAGGACTGTTCATTTAACAAAGCAGTTTATGAATGTCACCCCTTATCTTTATGCATTATGGTTGAACATTGTATATATGATTTTCATTTTAGTGTGCTCAGATTTTCTTTTGTGTTAGATAAGGATCTTTTCGATGATAAGAGGAAAGTACTCTTCAGGCTAATAGTGTGAGTTATTTGTCTCCTTGCCTATCTCTTGCTGGGTAGAGTGATCTAAGCCCTTGTTTCATTATTAGATATGAGTCTGCACATGAAAGTTGCATAAACAGAGGAAGAGGAATTAGAAAACATTTTCCTAGGTCCTGGAATTAGCCTCGAGAAGAACTGGTCTTGGGAATTCTTAGAAAGTTATTAATTCACATGTAATGTCCCCCATTTAGCTTCCGTTTCCTTGGAGTATGAGTTTAATATAAATCCAAGTACATCTTTTAAAGTTTGTTTTGTCAAAATTGGAGAATTCATGTTTCTTAAAATGTCCTGTGCATTTTGTTTTGTTTAAAATGGTTTGATCTTGTTATCATAGTAATCATTTCATGTTTTATTTTTATAATCATCCTATTGAGGGTAACAATATCTTAGTTAGCCATTTTAATTTGGAAATTTCTGGTCTTACTAATCACTAATGATTTTTAATGCTTTCTTTTTTGTTGTTGTCGTGTTATGTTTTATTTGTTGTTTGTTTATTCTTTTAACATCTCCTAAGTCTTCATGCTTAAGTTACCTTACTGTAATTTTGGACACCATTAGGTTTTGCTTCTCTAAAATTTTTAATTCACAAATAGTATGTTGTGGTTTTTTTTTTAATTTTCTTTCTTTTTCTCCCCTATTTTTTTCAGTCTTTTTAGCATGTGTTTCTTTCAGTTTGATGCACTCAGTTGATCTTTTTTTGGTTCCATTATTTATGTTACCATCCATTTAAAACAGGCCACCGTGGAATCTATCATGAGGGATAAGATGCCCAAAAAGGGAGGAAGATGGTGGTTTTCCTGGAGGGGCCGAAACACCACAATCAAAGAGGTAAGGGCAGAGTACCGAGTGGGCATTTGTACTTGGAAGGGTTTGGTTTTGTGCAGTGATGTTTGTTTCTAGGTACTTGCATCAGATCAGCAGAGTTGAAGGGTGCAAAGTGATCAGGGTTGAAAGGTGAGAGAGAGGCCATTAGGCTTTTGGGTCATTGCCTGTAAGTCTGGATACTGATGTAGAGTTGTTCTCCCTCTGTAAGATTTCAGTCTCTTTTATTTTTGTTGGTGGTGGGGCTTGAACTCAGGGCCTGGATGCTCTCTCTGAGCTTTTGTGCTGGAGGCTGGAGCTCTATCATTTTGAGCTACAGCTCCACTTCCAGTGTCTGGTGGTTAATTGGAAATAAGAGTCTCATGGACTTTCCTGCCCAGATTGCTTTTGAGTGGCATGAGCCACCAGTACCAGGCTAGGTTTCTGTATATCAAGAAGAAGACCTTCAACATAATAATTTAATTTTCTAGAAAAATTATCTATCTGGAGCATGAATTTCTCTTTTCTTGGAAGATTCATCTGACCTGCTGTTCTAGGCTCTCTGAGCATTGCCTAGGTACTTTTCCTTCTTAAATTTAGTCACAGTTTATAATATATGCAGTTAGTGGGACTGTTGTCCAGCTCGTTTCTTCTGCTCCAGACCTTAAACTCCTTGAAGGCAGAGGTCATGGGTAGCTTTGACCCCTGTGGTCATGCCTGGAACTCACACTGGGCCACATAGAGGGATTTGCTTTTATTTGTTGAGAGAATGATGGTTGTTTGGGTTAAATAACCACAAGGTTCAATAAATCTATTGAAACCCTAAAATAAACCCCATCAAACTCAGTTTATTCCACTCTTTAAAAGGGACGAGGGCTGTGGTAGAGCCTTACCTAGGTCGAATTGTCCTTTGACATTTTCTCATGGAGCATCTGACTTTGTTGATTGTCTCATTATCTCTAGGGTAGACACAAGTTGGAGCCAACATATATGCTTTTCTTGGGGGACTTAAAGCAAAAAGGGTCTTTAGTTTTCTTACTAAATGGCAGAGTGTTCTAGAATTGTAGCTTGAAGTACATTTTGAAGACTTCTTTATTTGTAGAGTATCTGAATTCCCACCAATTTGGTGAGAAAGGAGTATTTATGAAATCAAATATGTCTTTACAAGCTAAAATATATATTCCAGCTATATGTACATTTTCTGCACTAAAGATGGCTAATGGTGGTACAGGTTATATACCTTGATAAATAGGTTAAAAACAACCAACTATGTCATATTTATGTGCTCATAAACAACTCAAGAGCACCTGCCATTATTTGTCCTAATGATATGTGAAGACAGTCACCATGTTGTATAGTTTATGGTGTTTGTTTCTTTGTTACAATGCCCTGGTGGAAATGATGAACCGGTTTTCTGAACAAGGGAAAAGGAGGTTGCCTTGTGTACCCTTTGTCCTTTAATATGTCTTTCTGGTCTATTCCAGCTTAGTCTTGGGTCCTCTCCCCCCCCTCCCCCCCTCCCCGGCCTCTTTCCTGCTGGGTGCGGGCTCTCTGTTGCTCGCACAGTCCTTCATTATCACTAGAGCAGTGCTGGGGGCGGGGGGCGGGGCAGAATCTCACCCCCACTTCACAGATGTGAAAGTAAGGGGTGTGCCACTGGAAGACGTTCCCAGCGTCTGTAAGAGGCAGGAGGTGGTGTCCAAGGCCCTGGAATTCTCTAAGAAATCCAGGACTTCACTACATCCCAAGAGCAATTTCCTATGAAGAATATGTGGTATTAAAAGGAGCGAAATGCTTCCACATTTTCTCCAAGCAAAATATGGTGTGAAAATATTTTCGAGCATTTCAATCGGCAATTAGAAGAAAATATTTTGAAAGCCCCGAGGACTCCAGGCAGCCCTCGATGAAGCATTTGCAGACGAGACGGCGATGATGGCGTTTGGTTGAGTGCCACCAACACTTAGGGATAACAGACTCATTTCTGTCAAAAACATTTCTCAGCTTAATTGTATGTTTCTGTGCATAGGAGAAGCCAGGAGCTGCAAAGAAAACTTCACACAGAGCCTCCTGTGGCCACTGGGGTAGGGTCCCCTGTGGGGTCCTGCCTGAGCTTTGGGGGAACCTGTGGCAGAATAGAGGCTTTTGTACCAGTCCCTTTGCTTTGCTCCTTCTGTGACCATTGCTTTTCTTCTTCCCCAGGAAAGTAAGTCAGAGCAGTGCCTGCCTGGAAAGAGCCACAGTACTGGAGAGCAGCCAGCCCAGCTCGGCATGGCCCCCAGGTAAGGCGGGTGGTCCTGGCAGCCCAAGATCTCACACGGCCGCTCAGGCCTGGGCCTGCCTCCCAGCAGTGGCATCTTGCTTCCCTCCGTGACCCACTGTGGGTTGTTTTAGATCAGGGTAACCATTCATAAAATGGAGGCAGTCGCTCCCTTAGGTAAATGTGAGCCTTAAATAATGAGCTGACATAACTAGAGTATTTCTCAAGGTTTCTCAAAGTGGTGGCTATCCTGTGCAGATGGCAGTGGTGATAATGCTCTCACAGTGACATGGTAACAATAAGTTCCTGCTGAAAGAATTCGCTTTGCTGTACAGGTCCAATGCTTCCTGGAACCTACTTTGCTTGCTTGCTTGCTTGCTTCCTTCCTTCCTTTATTTCCCTCCTACCCTTCTTTCTTCCTTTCCCCCTCCGCTCCTTCCTGCCTTCCTTTCCCTGATTTTGTGCTCGTTCAGCTGGTCCTCTACCACTTGAGCTGCTCCTTCAGTCAGACTTTTTGCTTGTGTTACATTTTTTGCCCGAGCTGACTTTGAATCCTGTGGATCTCGGCTTCCTGAGTGGCTATTGATATTTTTCTCATGGATGCATATTAACTTGGCACAGCAGAGATGAGTTTTTTTTCTCCTTTTGTTTGTAATGGAAGTAGTTATACAGAGGGTTTTCACCCAACATGTCAGTTTATGAGTATGATGCATCTCCACCCCCCACCCCTCCCAACCCCCCCATCCCCTCATGTCTCCTGTTACATTGCCACATTAACACTGAATGTTAGGACTGCATTCACCCGCTCCTTTCTCTCTCCATTTGCCTGCTCCCACCTTGCCTTGAGCATTACCTCTCTCAGACAACATATTTCAGCTTCCTGGTATTTATTTTATTAGACCGTAAGTTCTTCAAAGGAGTTACACAATTGGTGTTTTTAGTTCACACATGTTTGTAACATGAGGGGGTTTCATTGCGGTATTTGCATAAACACTCCCAGAAGGTTGCTGAGGTCTTGATGCTGGAGTTGTCTTCAGCTTTATCTCTGTGACAGGGCTTGGGTAACTGGCCTGTGAGGAGAGGCATTCCCCAGCTCTTACCACAGCAGTGTGGACCCTGACCCTGAATGACCTTCACCAGTAACTTCTATCCTCACAGCTTTCCTGAAAGCCAGGCCTGCATTTCCTTCCCCCCCACCCCCACCCCCGCTGGGGTGCTTGTCCTGGGGCTTGAACTCAGGGCTTGGGCACTGTTCCTGATCTATTTTGCTCAAGACTAGCACTCTACCACTTGATCCACAGCTCCACTTCTGGCTTTTTTGGGGCTTAATTGGAGATAAGAGTCTCGGATTTTCTAGCCTGGGCTGGCTTTGAATGGTGAACCTTAGATGTCAGCCTCATGTGTAGCTAGGATTACAGGTATAAGCTACTGGTGGCTAGCCTGCATTTTCTACTCAGCACACAGAAACTCCTAGCAGGTTCTTTGAGGGGCCGATCCATAGGAAATCATTTCATACCTTGGAGGCCAAGGCACAGGGCAGGGCTGTTGTCAGTGCTGCCTGCCAGTCGAACTGGTGAGGTTTTCTCCAAGAGGAGAAGCAGCTCAGATTTCGCCTCCTCTGCCTCATGCCTCGGCTGTTTGACTTAAACTCCTTCCGATGGCAAGTAGGACACAGTCCAGCTGATTTCCTTATTGTGGAGGGAGGTCTGAAGCCTGGGCAGAGCGCTTGTTTGTGAGTCAGGTACTACATAGTCCACTTGTGTTCTCAGAGGAGCCTTCTGTGTGCTGGTCTCCGTCCCTGCGCCCTTGCTTAGCGTGGGTGGGAAGGAAGCAGAGGGTAGTAGACCGAGTGCTCCAGTCTGTTCTTTGTTTTCTGACTCTGGCTCCTTCACTGGGAACAGGCTCGTGAGCATGGATGGTACTTTTTTAGGGTGCTAATCATGGAGCTTGAATTTAGGTCCTGGGCACTGTCCCTGAGCTTTGTTGCTTAAAGCTAGTGCTCTACCACTTGAGCCATACCTCTAACTTTGGGTAGGTAATTGGCGGTCAAGTTCTCACAGACTTTCTTGCCTAGGCTGGCTTTAAACTGTGATCCTCAGCCTCTTGAATAGCTAAGATGACAGGTGTGAGCTACTGGCAGCTGGCTTTCTGGTACTTTTTGAAGTGCTACTCCAGGGCTTGAACTTAGGGCAGTCTCCCTTGGATGTCTGACTCATGGCTGGTGATCTACCACTTGAGCCATGTCTCCATTCAGACATTTTGCTGGTCAATTGGAGATTGAGTCTTGAGGACTTTTCTGCCTAGGCTGGCTTCAAGACATGATCCCACAGGTCTCAGCCTCCTGAGTAGCTAGGGATTATAGGCATGAGCTACTGGTACTTGGCTTTTCTTTTTTTTTTTGCCAATTCTAGGCCTTGAACTCAGGGCCTGGGCATTGTCTTTGTGCTTTTTTGCTCAAGGAAAGTACATTTGAGCCACAGCCGTACTTCTGGCTTTTTGGTGGTTAATTGGAGATGAGTCTGGTTTCAAGCCTATAATCCTCAGATCTCAGTCTCTTGAGTAGCTAGGATTACAGGTGGGAACTACCATATAGATGGGAGCTACTGGCACTTGGCTACCTGTTTTTTTTTTAATTTTATTGTCAAGGTGATGTTCAGAGGGGTTACAGTTACATAAGTAAGTTAGTGAGTACGTTTCTTGTCAAACTTGTTACCCCCTCCCTCATTTTACTCGCACTTTCCCTCCCCCTCAGCATGCCCCTCCTCCCCAAGTTGTACAGGTTATTGGATGAATTTTGTTTAGCCCTGAGTGAGCTCGAAGGGCCCAGGCAAGTGTGTGTTAAGTATTAAGCCTAGGCCGGGGCTGTGCCAGCCCTGGATGTGATGCATCGAGCTGCCAGAGGGCTTTACAGGCAGAGGTAGTCGGGTGGACAGGTGTTGCTACCTAGGTGCCAGTAGGTCCCCATCTGTGAACTCGGGGATGAGAGTGACCTCCAGAGTGCACTCACCCCTCGGCCACACTGTAAGTCACATGTTCAGTCCCAGTCTGCAGTTCCAGCCGTCCCAAGGAAGTGTTTTGTGGCTCACAGACTGAAATCTTCCAGTCCTATCCTGCCACGTGATAGGCTCTGACCTGGGACCATGGTCACATGAGCTCTGTTAAAAGGCATAGAGGGTGATACACACTGGCAGGGGGCCCAAGTGCTCACCACTGTTCCTCTTGTCAGTTCTGGAAGATTCCAGAAGCATACCAGGCAAGCTGAAAGTAGAGGACATTGAGATGGCTTGTAGTAACTCTTTCCAAGTTGGGCCTCAGCTCATGGGGTTTTCTGGAGCTGGGTGGATTTTCCCAGTGGCTGAAAGAGTTGTGTCCACCGGTCCCCAAGACACGCGTTTTTCCTGTTCTGTAGGCATGGGTGGGTCGCTTCTCTCAGCTAGTCATTCTGCATTTCTTCATCAGTGAAGAACTGACTTCTGTGCAAGAGGACTGGAATTTTGGGGAAGCACTCAGCTTCTTTTGAGAAATGTGAATCTTTTCATCTATATGGGTGACTTTTAGTCTCCTTATTAGACATATGCAAAAGTAAAAAAAAAAGTTGTGTGCGAATGTTTTCTAATTGACAGACTTGATTGACAGAACAGTCCCTAAAGTCCCATAATTGAGCAAACAGCTTGTCACCACACAAATAATTAAAATGCCATTTGAAGAACGTACTGCGCCGTGACAGGCGTTCACGTAGACATTGTGTTGTTCTCAGCTCCTGGTCTGAACACAGTTTCACATGGTAGAGGCCTGTTTGTTTGTAAAGCAGGTGACATTTAACCAGCCTCTGTGGGAGGGGCGTGGGGCCTCCGGATGGGAGAGTGGTGGTGTCTGAGGGCAGCAGACACAAACCACCATGGATGGGGACAGGCCCTTCGCTGAAAGTACCAGTCACCAGCTACACAACTACTGTCATGTCCCATCCTGTGTCCCGTCTCTGTCCCCCCTCAACCCCTTTCCCTGGGGATTGAATTCAGGCCTGGCTCTGTCCCTGATCCTCTTTGTTCTCAAGGTTAGCACTCTGCCACTTGGGCCACAGCACCACTTCTGTCTTTTTCTGAGTAGTTTATTGGAGATAAGAGTCTCACAGACTTTTCTGCCTGGGCTGGCTTCGAACTGGGGTCCTCAGATCTCAGCCTCCTGAGTAGCTAGGATTACAGGAGTGAGCCACTGGCGCCCGGCCTGATGACTGGCTTCTTACACTAAAGCCTTAGGGCACCAGGACGAGCCTGCTTCCTGTTTTGCCAATGGCTGACTCAGTGTGATGGACGGTAGTCAGTGGCTCTGATCTCTTGGTCAGGGCTCCTCCCCGCAACTCCTTAGGTGCCGTGCTGAGGGAGGAAGCGGCTCATGAGATGCTCCATATGCAGCAGTGGGTGCTGTGTGCAGTGTGCCCGCTCACCTCTCCAGCATAGGCAGTGCTTGGGTGTAGAGACGTTCCTTGGGTGGAGGCTTTGAGGGGCCCGTGGCCATCTTATGACCATGGAAATGAGAGGAAACTAGAGGTTGAGCGCCCACGGAAGTAACTTGACGACGAGGACCGTGTGTATCCAAATTCAGTGCTAACGGATGGGGAGGGGTTGGGGCACGCCCGCTCTGGGGCCCTCAGCCTTTTCCATCCAGTTGTAGGCTGCTAAGACCTCTTTTTTTTTTGTGGCACTGGGATTTGAACTCGGGTCTCCCACTTTCTGGTCTGGCATGATGCCACTGAGCTATGCCTCCAGTCCTCTTACCTTTTTTTTTTTAACTCATTATTTTTAAGATCAGGTTCTCACTTTCCTCCCAGGCCTGCGTCCGCACCTCCATCTGCCTACTTTTATTTATGTTCCTGTTGTCATTGAGATCACAGGCATGAGCATCCTTCCCTCACGCCAGCTTCCCTCTGGAGACAGACTCTCGCAGCCTTTCCTGCCTGGGCTGGCCTCGATCCACAGGCCTCCCCTCTCCACCTCCCATGTAGCATGGGATGATGGATTGAGAAAGGGGTCTTGAGAACTTCTCTGTGTGCCTGGCCTCAGCCTCAGTCCTCCAATTCTCAGTCTCCTAAACACCTTTAGGATATAGGTGAGAGCCACTGAGGCCGGGCACTAAGACCTTTTTGAAGATAGTGGTCCTGAGAGGCAGAGCTATATCACTGGGCTGAAGATGATGTCATTGCAGGCTTTTACTCCAGGCACAATTAATTACATATCAACTTCCTAAAGCAGACATTCTACTTAAAGCACAAGGAGCCTGTGGGTTCCAGGCCTGCAAAGATGGCCTCCTCTTGGTGGGGTGGCCTGCCAGGGGTTCAGGTAGGGTAACTGGCACCTGTGTAGAAGTCCTAGCAGTGCCCTAATAATCTGGAATTTGGAGAGCTAATGCGTTTGGCTTCTGAGGACTTGGCCCTCAGCCACCGAAGAAATTGAAGCGAAGCAGTAGAGACATGCCAGTTAGCAGCTGCCTAGGCCAGAAGCCTTGACTGCTTCTCAGGAAAAGAGGTCTGTTGGTTAAAAGAATGATGAGAGCTAGTAAGTGGGCAAGCAAATGAGGAGAGGCAGCCCCCACATGAATAATGCAGCGATGCATGAATGGGCTGCAGCACAGGCTCATTGATAAATCTAAAACCATATGGTCAATGACCACCCGAGAGGTGGTTCTCGGGAGAGACCCGCTTGGCTGAGTCATTGATTCAGAGCTAATGCATTTTTAATGGCTACCTTTTTAATGGCATCTTGTAGTGGGCGGTGACATCACTGTGTGTTCTAGGATAAAGCACGAGTCATCCTCCAGTGACGAGGAGCACGCAGCTGCCAAGCCATCAAGCACCAGCCACCTCCCTCTTCTGGCAAATGTCAGCTACAAGAAGACGTTGCGGCTCACTTCCGAGCAGCTGGTGAGGCCCCTGGTCCCCGCGCACGTGCAGTGCAGGCTCTACCTCATGGCAGTCAGGGTCCTCGGTCTCTGGGGCACGTCTGAAGTTCTTCCTATTTCTTGGTTCCCATTTCTACTTCCTGGCACCTTTTATCCCCCCTCCCCCCCCCTTGCGTGCCTACACCCTCTCGGGACCCCACCATCCCTTATTTGTCGCTATACAGCCTTACTTCTTCCTTGATCTAGTGGAGCCCTCAGTGTGATACCACTTACCCCGGAGTTCTTTTTACTATGTGTGCCCGTGCACGCATCCGCAGGTATTGGGGCTTGAACTCAGGGCCTGCCTGGGTGTTGTCCCTTAGCATTTTTACTCAAGGCTTACCACTTTCAGCTCTTTTACTGGTTAATTGCAGATAAGAGTCTCATGGACTTTTCTTGTCCAGGCTGACTTCAAACTATGATCCTCAGATCTCAGCCTCCTGAGTAGCTAAGAACATAGGCATGAGCCACTGGTGCCTGCCTATGCAGCTCTTGTGGCACATCACTTAACCCCGGGAAATAGCTCTTCCAGAAGTGCTGCATCATGGTAGCCTTGTCCTTGCAAGCAGAACGCTCTGTGGAAAGGGGAAGAGCAGCAGTGTAGGTGGGCCAGAGAAAGTGGAGGCTTAATTTGCCTGTCAGGACCCATAAAGAACTAGAATAAGGGTGCAGTGTGTCACTCCTACAATCCCAGCTGCTTGGGAGATGGGAGTGCAGGATGATCAAGGTTCCAGGCTAACCTGGACAAAAGTTAGGAAGAGCTCCAATCTCTAATAAAAGCACGGTGTGGTGGTGTCTGCCTGTCATCCAAGCCACATGGGGAGGTGTACCCAGGAGGATTACAGGCTAGGTCCATCCCAATGACAGTCTGAGGCCTTGTTAGAAAAATATGCTAAGGCACAAGGCCTGGGAGTGGCTGAGTGCTCGCCTAGCAAGTGCCAGGGCCCATTCTGACCCCGTGCACGACCAGGTGGATGGTGTGTTTCTTAACGTCTTTCTCAGGAGAGAAGCCAGACGCCCGCTTTGGGGCCTTCCCTCGGGCTGACACAGGATTCATGTTTCCTTAGAAAAGCCTGAAGCTGAAGAATGGCCCCAATGACGTGGTGTTCAGCGTCACCACGCAGTACCAGGGCACCTGCCGCTGCGAGGGCACCATCTACCTGTGGAACTGGGACGACAAAGTCATCATCTCTGACATCGATGGCACCATCACCAGGTGGGCCTGGCCTCCGCAGGGCCCTGGCCTCCGCAGGGCCCTGGCCTCCGC